GATCCTTCATCATTGGTGCTTTCATTGAGAGTGATTGATTGGGTGTTCGTGAACTTATTCTATCCCATTCTTTTTTGTTTGTTCGATTTTTTTGAGTCTTTGTGTTTGAATTTTTTCGAATTTTATCCTTAATTTTCGAAAAATTTCGTGAGTATTAAAAAAAAAAGTGTCATCTAGTCCTTTTGTTTGATTTTTTTCGGTTATTACCTTTTGTTGAGAGGCCCAATTTCTCTTCTTTTTGGGTTGAAATTTTTGAAATTCTTGTTCGAATTTTTCATTTATTTTTCGATTTTTTATAGTCTTAAAAAAAATATCATGTCTTATGAGCCAATGGACGAGATGGATTGGGAAGATCTCGAACTATTGGAGAGTTTGGAGAGAGAACTTACCCCATGGGAGAGCACGTATCTCGACGAGCTCCATGAACGAAGAAATCGAGAAGAGTACGAGCGACAACTCATGGAAGGGCGAGGAGCAAGAGAGGGTGAAGTTCAGAACGATGAAGATGATGGTGCGCTTAATTTTCTAATCCTTGAGGATAAGGAAAGTCTTGAAGAGGAGGGGAATGATACGGAAGTGGTCATCAACCCAGGTGAGTCAGACGACGAGGATGGCGATGGTCTCGATATTTGGTTGGAGAACATGTTGGAGGAGCCATCTAGTCCAATTTACCGGCCATCATGCGAAAGAGATTGGCCGAGAGGGTGTGGTCCACGGGCTAAGCTAAAGCCTAAGAAGCGCAAGACCAAACGAGCCCGAAGGAAATGCAAGGCAAAGGCTAAGGAATCCTACTGTTGGTGTAAGCCTTGCACAAGGAAGAGACGAGCACGAAAGAAGGAGGCTAGAAGGCGTGGTTTGCGATGGGTTGACAAAGGGTGGTGGATACCGGCGGAGGATTGTGAGAGGTTGAAGGGTTGGGATCCATGGTCCGAACCAACGGTGACGATCGCCGACGAGAAGGGCGACAGCGATCGGATAATAGGCGAATGGCACGTATCGGCCCATGATGCACGCGGTTGGATGGAGCAGGATGATGTACACGGGAGTTCGGTTGGCGGGCGAGTCGCGGACGTCGACTGGGACGCATTGGCATTCGGTGGCGTAACGTCGGGGCGCGATAGGCGCGCGGGTGAGCAGTCCACTGGTGGGGGAGGTGAGTGCAATGCAGCGGGTGCACGGGGATGCGCAGGAGGTGATCGGAGCCCGCGGGCGAGGGAGGCGACGTGCGGGAGTAGGACTGGCGGAGGCGGTGTGCAACACCCCACCTTACTGTAAAATCAGAGTAGCGCAATAATTCGCATAGTCTTTGAAAATAAAACCTTTTTACTTTGCGAAAACTGATTCGGGGTGCTACCGTGAAAAATCGTGACTTATCTTAGAAAAACCGTTGTTTAAATTTAATAAAAACGTCCGGTTACTGAAAACTTTATTTTCTTAGAAGTTCGTCAAAGTGATGAGTTCGTC